ACGTGCAGAGCGCCTTCCAGTCGCGGCCCACTGCGGGGCAGGAGGCGGCGCGGGCAGGTAAGCCGCGACTCCGCTGGGCGGGGCAGGAGCGCCCCTCCCTCCGAGCGAGGCGCTGAGCCCAGCTGCGGGCGGCGGAGGCTGCCGGGGCGCGGTCGCGGGCTGGGGCGCACGGCGCGGATTCCCTCCTCCTCCTCGGCAGGCAGGCAGGGAGGAAGGTAAGGCAGGGGCAGGAGCAGGCCTTGCCCGGGAGAGTCGGGGGCTCTCCTTCCTCGCTGCCGGAGCTGCGGCGTGCAGCGGTGGGCCGGGAGCACGCGCGTGTAGACGTCCCGGCTCTGAAGCCGCCTGTGCTTGGTTACCTGGGGAAGCTTTCCGCTCACCATAGGCGAGGGCGATTTCCCGGGGGACGGGGGGAACCTGGCCGCATGCTTTGGCGAGGGGACAGAGAGGACGGTTCCTCCCAGGCGGTCGTGCTGACGGGGCCTCCCCGGGAGCGACCCAGACCTCCGTCCCGTCTCTGGCAGAGGCGGCGCTTCAGGGCAGCCGGCCTGGGCCGGCCTGCTTCTCCCGGAGCTGCCGAGAGGCGAGAGAAGGACCGGGGCGAGCTCCACGCAGGGCTGAGCAGGCTCGCTTGTCCTGGTATCCCACGCGGAAGCGGGGCGCCGTGCTGCCGGTGAGGGGCCTCGCAGGCCGTGGCGGAGAAGCGGGGATGCGCTTGTGCGGGAGGGCTCTGCAAGAGGGGAAGGGAGCTTTTCAAAGAGGTGCCTAACGTTGTGCAAATAGTTCCTCAGCAACAAAAGATACACTTGTGTATCTTCTCATTTGCCGAAACAAGGCCCAAGTCAGGAGCTGCATCCAAAATTGGTCTGGGTCACCCTTGTGAACGCGGAATCTGTGGGTTGTTGCAGCTAAAGGTATTTTTGTACCTTCCTAGAATACTGCATACAGCTCTGGCTACCACACCTCCAAAATATGTTTATGTATTTTATTTCTAAAAGAGTTGCAGAAAAGCAGATGCAGGGGCTTGGGAAGAAAACATTTGAGCCTTTTTATTTTGGGGGGGAGGAAGCTAGAGAGAACATGATAGCAGCATTTAAAATAATGCAGAGGTAAAATCTGCTTTTCTTGTTCTGGCACTAGAACGCAGGGCAATCCAGTGAAGCAGCTTGATCGGATGAAAGCAGGCCCTTCTTTAAACAGTGCAGAGTTAACCAGTAAACATTTACAGTATTTCTACACCAGTTGGGGTGATGGGCACCCGGTTGAGAGGCTTTGAAAGGGGGCTAGCCATTGTGAAGGAGACGGCAGTCCCACAGCTCTGTCTTGGCCTCCAGTGCCAGACGGGACACTGGCCAAGCCAGTCTTCAGGGAGGGAAGCGGGCGGTGCTGAGGCCTCTTGTTGGGGGGTTCCGAAGTGCCAGGCAGCCGGCCTGGGAACAGGACAGCCCCTGGTCTCCTCAGCCGCAGGGGGCTCCTCTGTTCTTTCAGAAGGCCTTGCCTGATGGACTGTTGGAACTGAGACATCCCAAAGCCTCAAGAGCATTGATCCTGGCCCAAAGATACCCAGCCCAGGTCTGGAGAAGGCTGAGTGTGCCGGGAGACAATTCCTCCTCCATCAGGCTGCAAAGAGGGCTTGGTCGAGAAGCATGTTGCTACCTGCACTCTGGTGGCATCCGGCTGGAGAGACTGGTTTGGGATTCAGCCCCAGATCCCGGCACGCAGCCTTCCCAGAGGGCCCTGCCTGCCTGCCTGCCTGCCTGCCTGCCTGCCTGCCTGCCTGCCTGCCTGCCTGCAATTGGAGGCCATGCTAAGGGCCCTGGAACCCAACTGGGGAGGCGGGAGAGGTTGCCCATTCCAATTCGGAGGGCAACATTTTATCTGGGGCCAGACATATAACGTTTACAAATGGTGCCTCCTGCTTTGGATGTCCTCTTAATAAAAAAACACAGGTGCCCCAACAGTTCTCCCCACAACTTCACAAGTTTGTCTTATCTTCAGCTGATGTTCATTCTGATTAATAGAGAACAGGGTTTGGAGACCTGGAATGCCTCTGAGAATGTGCAGAGGGCTTGGATAACCTTCGCATCATTAGAGGATGAGCTTCCATCCTTGAGGTGCAACTGCCAGAGGAGCTCCTTGTTTGCCTTTTAGAAGCCCCTGCGCCCAGAGCCGCCAGGTGCTCGGAGCCCTCCTTCCTCTGGGCCGACACGGCCCGCCATGTCCATCATGGTGGGATTGGGTGACAGCCAATCGGAGAGGATGACAGCCGATGACATCATTCTCCAGACGCGCCAGGTGATGAAGGGCCTGGAAGCCCTGCGGAGCGAGAACAAGAACATCCATCACCGTCTGCAGGAGGCTCTGCTGAAGGAGCATCAGCTGCAGACCGAGAGGGAGGGCGCTGCGGTGGCAGTCGTGGATGCCCAGGCCCTGGAGCTTCTGGAGGAAAAGCAGGACCTCGTCTGCAGGAGCCTGGAAGGCATTGAGCTGGGCATCGCAGAAGGCCAGGTATTCCGGGAGCCTGGAGGGAGGGGAGCCAGGAGGCTGCTTGCCCTGCTGTGACGTCATGGAGGTGGCAGCCCAGAGACCTCAGGGAGGTTTGAGTCCGGGGGGGCTGCTTTCCAAGAGCTGTAGTGACATGAGCCTGGGATGGGGTGCTGGCAGGGGGCACCCCGGGCAGCCGGTTTTGATTTGCCCCTGCATTGGTGGAATTGTAAAACCCCTGTGGAATAGCAGAAGATTCCACTGGAAGCGTCAAGCGTATTTATTTGTCTGGCCTTCCCTGGATTGCTCGAGTGCCTTGCTCTGAATTGCGGCCAGCCCCGCTTTGGCTTCCCTTAGTCCAAAGGAAGCGAAATGCTCCAGCGCCCCCTTCCCCTCCCAGATGCTGATTGCCCTGTCCTCACACATCGGGGCGCTGGAGGCCGAGAAGCAGAAGCTCCGGGCGCAGGTGAGGCGTCTGGGCCAGGAGAACCTGTGGCTGCGAGACGAGCTGGCCGGGACCCAGCTGCGGCTGCAGCACAGCGCGGAGGCGGTGGCCCAGCTGGAGGAGGAGAACGGGCACCTGCGCTTCCTGAACCAGCTTCGGCACTGCGAGCCCCGAGAGGAGCAGGTGCAGCAGGGACTCCCGCCAAGCTGCCCCACACGCCCCGGCTCAGAGCAGCTTTTCTCATGGGGAAGCAGAATGGCTTGGGGCGACCAGAATAGTTTTTTAAGGATGGGTCTGCTATGCTCTCTCTGAATCTGGGAGCTTACAGCGAAAGCTGCAGAAGAACTCAAGTCCCCCCCACCAAGAAATTTAGAAGGCTCATATGAACCATGAGTTCAGTACAGGACCCCAAATTAAATCTTTAATCCAAATTATTTGGATGCTCAGAGATGGCACTTTGGCTCAGGAAGATTGGGATTGTAGTCCCAGGACCCCAAAGGGCAGCAAGAGGGGGGCCAGGGCTTTATTTTGCAGCCCTTTGCTTGTTTGCTTAATTGGCACTGTAAGCCTCCCCTTGGCCTTTAATTAGGAGAGCGCTCTTTAAAGGGAAAAGAAGTCCTCCCTGCTGCTCACTGAGCTTCCCGGTTTCCCCTTGCAGGCAGAGAAGGAGGAAGTGGAGCAGAGCAGAGGCAGCCTGTTTCTCAGCACGGATGAGGACCAAAGGCCAGGTGCGCTTCCCTGAAGGTCCTTTGATTTCTCAGGTGTCCACAGAGTGGAGGCTTGGCCTGACGAGCTGCTGCTGCCTGCCTGCCTGCCTGAGCGAGGCTGAAGCTTCGACCCAGGAGGAGGTTGCAAGGAGCCTGTTCCATCTCCAACAGAGCCATAATTAACATGCCTGAAAGCAGCAGAGGCGCTGGGCAGGGGGCCAGGGATGAGGAACCTCCCTGCTTGCCTGGGTCAGGTGAGAAGGGTGCTCTGCTTCTGCCCAGCCTCGCTGCGCCAGGCTCCCTTTTGGTTCTTCCCTGCAGAGGGGCACAGTCCGAGCGCAGCCACCTCAGCAGCTCAGCAGGGCGGGTACGAGATCCCAGCACGCCTGCGGACCTTGCACAACCTGGTGATCCAGTACGCCTCCCAAGGGCGCTACGAGGTGGCCGTGCCACTCTGCAAGCAGGCCCTGGAAGATCTGGAGAGGAGCTCAGGGCATGGCCACCCGGACGTGGCCACAATGCTCAATATCCTGGCGCTGGTCTACCGGTAAGATGCCCGAGGCGCCAGCCCCCTCTCCAGTGAGCGCCTCTTCCACAGCAGCTTGCCAGGGACCAAGTGCAAAGACCGGGGAGGGGGTGGCACTCCAGGAGACCCTTTTGCTCCAGCCAAGAAAGATGGAAAGACTCCCCAATACCGAGTTAAAATGAATTGGGCAGACCAGCTAGAAGAAAAGGTCGGGGGGGCGGACAAGGAATAACCACTCGGATGTTTTTGCTGCAAAGGTCAATCTGGCTGTTGCTTGCCTCCCCACCACCCCGAGTCCTCTGGGCTGCAGCTACGTGCTGGGGCTGCTCTGGCAGAAACCTGGAGGCTGCGCCCTGCCACCCCTCCAAGCCTTCCTGCTTCTCCTCCCGCAGGGACCAGAACAAGTACAAGGAGGCCACAGAGCTGCTCAATGATGCCCTGGACATTCGCGAGCAGACTCTGGGTGCGGAACACCCTGCAGTGAGTGCCTGAGCTGTGTGGGTGGGCACCAGCACTGGGCAGAGGGTGCGAGAAGGAGGGGGAGAGGCCCTGGCTTGGTCCTGGGCGAGACGCAGCCGTCTCCTGCTGCTTCTGAGGGAGCTCTATTCCGCGTCCCTGAGCTGAGCTCTGGCTAACCCTCCCTCTGTTCCTGGCAGGTGGCCGCTACCCTGAACAACTTGGCTGTGCTGTACGGCAAGCGGGGGAGGTACCGAGATGCCGAGCCGCTGTGCAAGAGAGCCTTGGAGATCCGCGAGAAGGTAAAGCCTGTCGGACGGTCCTGAAAGAGGCCGAAAAGCTGCCTCTTCGGCCTCTGTCATAGCGTTGCCCCAGCTCATCCCCAGCCGAGGAATGGAGGGCACAGAAACCCCAACCTCCTGCCATTGGAAATTCAGCACGGCCACCTTTCAGATCCCTGGTGAGAGCCAGTGGCTCTCTAGCCGGCTTTTCCTGGCCTGGTGCCTCCAGACGGTGCCTGGAAGGCTTAGATGTAGAGGAGGAGAATCGGGCAGGAGAGGCCTTGGAGCAGCCAGGAGCAGTGAGAGGGGGCTGCCACCAAGGCCAGCAGGAGGGTGCCAGGCACAAGGCCTCGTTCCGGCTGCACGAGGAGCCACCTGCGACAAAGCTGTCTCTGCGTTCTGGGAGCAGAGGAGGCGCCTTGCTTTTTAGGCCTTCCACAGTCAGGATTCAAAGAGACGCAAGCGCTGCACATTGCGCCCACCCTTGCCTGCCCAGGTGCACAAGCAGGAGTGCAGCTGAGCACCACTGCGCTTTTTCCCACAGGTGCTGGGCACCAACCACCCAGATGTGGCCAAGCAGCTCAACAACCTGGCGCTGTTGTGCCAAAACCAGGGCAAGTTCGAAGAGGTGGAGCAGTACTACCAGCGGGCCCTTCGCATCTATCAGACCCAGCTGGGCCCCAGCGACCCCAACGTGGCCAAAACAAAGAATAACCTGGTAACCTTGGAAGGAGGGGCGCCTCTGCAGCTGCTGCCCCCGTTTGAGGATTAGGGTTGGCTCTGCAGGGTGCCTCTTCTAGGAGCAGTTAGTGCTGGCGAACTCTTTGGGTAAACTAAGTTTAGAGCAAACACTAGTAACAGTAAGTGGAGCAACACATTGGCGACACATTTTTACTGACAAATAAGCTTTGAATGAATGGCACAGCTGAGCCAGGAGCTGCTTCAACCAAGGCTTGGCTCACGACTCTGTCTGGCCAGTTCTTTCCTTCTCCCCCCTCGCCCCCCCAGGCAGTATGAGAAGCCGCCTAACTAAAGCAAAGCAGTGGGTTTTTTCGCTGCGCACACTTTGGCAAGATACCTGGTGGGGCCGTGGTTTGCCCTTGGGTGGGTGCGCTGGCTTGTGTGTGGGACGCATTGTCACCTGGAGGTCTGGGGCCCAGCCGCTGCCTGCTGGAGCAGGGGAGGGCAGGGGGCGCACCTCACACTCCCCTCCCCTCTCCGCGCG